TGACTCAGGTTTATCCTTCTTTATGGCAGAGTAGTTCTCCATTGTTTGTAAATACTACATATTCTTTATCCATTTATCTGTTGATAGACACATAGGCTGCTTCCAAGATTGACCTGTTGTGAATTGTGTTGGTATAAACATAGGTATGCATGTGTCACTGTAATATGATGTCTGTAATTCTCTCAGGAAGATACCTAGAAGGAGAATAGCTAGATCAAATGGCATTTCTTGTTTCAGTTTTGTGAGAAATCTCCACACTGATTTCCATAGTGATTGTACTAGTTTACATTCCCACCAACAGTGAAGAAGAGTTCCTTTTTCCCCAAAGCCTCATCAGCATTTATCTGATTTCTTCACAGTTGCCATTCTTTCTCCAGTAAGATGGAATCTGTGTTTTAATTTGCATTGCTCAATAGCCAGATAATTTTTTTTAGTTCTTAATGTATTCTAGATATTAGCTTTATGTCCAATGAATAGCTGTCCAAATTTTTTTCCTATTCTATAGTTCGTCTCTTCACTCTGTTGTTTCCTTTGCTGTATGGAAGCTTTTTAAATTGATAATGATCCATTTGTTGATTCTTGGTGTTATTTCTTGTGCAGTTCTGCTCAGAAAATCCTTGTCTATGCCTACGTCTTCAAGAGTTTTACCTATTTTATCTCTCAGCCAATAAAGTATTTCTGTTTTAATGTTTAGGTTTTTGATCCATTTTTATTCTAGGTTAGTACATGGTAAGAGATATGGGTCCAGATTCAATTTGCTTGTGGATAGCCAGTTTTCCCAGCACCATTTGTCAAAGAGGATATCTCCTTCGGTGTACATTTTTGGCCCCTTTGTCAAAGATCAGGTAGCCAAATGTGCTTGGAGTTCTTCCTGCATCTTCTATTTTGTTCTACTGATCACCTGTTTTTTTGCCAATACCATGCTAGGTTGTTTTTTGTATTTGTTTTACCCCACTATAGCTTTGTGGTATAACTAAAAGTCCAGAATTGTGATTCCTCCTGCCTTGCCTTTGTTGCCCAGGATTTTTTTTGGTATTCTCGGTCTCTTCTGGTTCCATATGAATTTTAGGATTGTGTTCTCTAGTTCTGTGAGGAATGGTGTTGGTATTATTGGAATTGCATTAAATCTGTGTATTAGTTTTGGAAGTATGAATGTTTTGACTATATTTGTTCTGCCTATCCAGGAACAGGGGATATTTTCCATTTTCTGATGTCCTCTTCAATCTCCTTTTTCAGAGTATTATCACTTTCATTGTAGAAGTCTTTCATTTCCTTGGTTATGTTAATTCCTAGATATTTAAATTTTCTTGAAGCTATTGTAAATGTTATTTTTTTTCTAATTTCTTTCTTCATGAGTTTGTTATTGGTGTACATGAATGCTATTGATTTTTGTGGGTTGACTTTCTATCTTCTTACACTACTGAATTTGGTTATTAGGTCTAGGAGTCTTTTGGTGGATTTTTAGGTCTTCCATGTGGAGGACCATGTTACCACCAAATAATGATAATTTGACTTCTTTCCTATACACATCCTTTTTATTTCTTTCTCTTCCCTGCTTGCTCAGGCTAATGTTTCAAGAATTATATTGAACAGTAGTGGTGATAGCAGACATCCTTGTCTTGTTTCTGATTTTAGAAGGAAAGCTTTCAGCTTCTCCCCATTTAATATGATGTTGGCCATTGATTTGCATAAATGGCTTCTGGATTTCAGCAGTGTCTGTTGTGATTTCACCTTTTTCATTTCTTTTCTTTCTTTTTTTTTTTTTTTTTTGGTACCAGGGATTGAACTCAGGTCCTTGCGCTTGCGAGGCAGGTGACGGAACCACTGAGCTAAATCCCCAGCCACCTTTTTCATTTCTAATTACATTGATTTACATCCTTTCTTGCTTCTTTTGGTAAGATTGGCGAGGGGTTTATCTATTTTGTTTATTCTTTTAAATAACCAGGTTGTCATTCATTCTTTGTATTGTTTTTTTACTCTCAGTGTCATTAATTTCTGCTTTGATCTTTATAATTTCCTTGTTTGTACCAGCTTTGGATTTGGATTGTTCTTGTTTTTCTAGGACCTTCTAGTGTATCATTAGGTTATTTGGAGTCACTTTTTGTGTGTGATATAGGTGTTTTTAGCTATAAACTTTTCCTCTTAGGACTACCCTCATTGTATCCTATAAGTTCTGGTGTGTTGTACTGGCATTATCTTTTTTTTTTTTTTTTTTTTTGATCGCTTCTCGGCGTTTTGGTTAAGATCAAGTATAGTATCTTTTATTTTTTTTGGTACGAGGGATGGAATTTGGGACCTTGCACTTCCAAAGCAGGCGGCAGAACCACTGAGCTAAATCCCCAGCCCCTAGCATTATCTTTTGATCATAGGAATGTTCTTAATTTCTTCCTTGATTTCTTCTGTGACCTATTGATTATTCAAGGGGGGTATTGGTTAATTTCCATAATTTTTGTGGGGCTTTTTGCCACCAGTTTCTAGTTTCATTGCACTATATACATTGCACTAATATACATGGGGTGATTTCAGGTTTTTGCATTTACTTAAGCATGTTTTATGAGCTAGCATGTGGTTTATTCTGGAGAAAATCCCATGTGCGGCTGAGAAGAATGTGTACTCTGTTGTTGGTAAAACACTGTACATACCTATTAAGTTCATGTTTTGAAGGTTTGGATCAACTGTGATTTTTTTTTTTTTTGGTACTGGGGATGGAACTCAGGACCTTGCACTTGCAAGGCCTGCACAGTGCCACTGAGCTAAATCCCCAGCCCTCAATTGTGATTTTGTTGTTGTTGTTGTTTTAGTCTAGTTGATCTGTCTTTTGTGACAGTGGGGTATTGAGGTTTCCCATTATAATTGTGTTGACATTTATCTGATTTTTTTTATGTCCAGTAGTTTTTATGAAGTTAGATGTGCCAGTATTTAGTGCATATATGTTGTTATCTCTTTCTGTTCAATTGTTCGCTTAACTAATGTTTAGTAACCTTCTTTGCTTCTTCTGATCAGTTTTGACATGAAATCCACTTTGTCTAAAATTAGATAGCTATTCCTGTTTTTTCCAAGTTCCTGTTGCATGGAATATTGTTTTCCATCTTTTGATTTTTAATCTGTATAGTTTTTTAGCATTAAATGTTGTTTCTTATATACTGTATATCATTGGGTTTTGTTTCTTGATCCATTCTGCCAATCTGTATCCTTTGATTGGGGAATTAAGACCAATCACATTGAGAGTTATTACTGAAAGGTAATGACTTATTCTTGTCTTGCATCATTTTCCTGTTACTAATCTCCACCCTTTAACTGCACACCCTTCCTGGTTTATTCATTCTGTTAGACTTTTTGGCATTGTTGGCTTCACTGTCTCTTTTAGATATCCTTAAGAATTGTTTGTATTGCTGGATTGGTGGTCATGAATTTCTTGAGGTGCTCATTGTTATGGAAATAACTTATTTCTCCATCAATTTTGAAAGAAAGTTTTGCAAGATATACAAGTCTGGATCAGACTAGCCCTGCACGTGTCAGGCCACCTGTGGAGCGGGCTGCCTCAGGGCTGCCCTGGAGTTCTCTGTGATGTGTGAGCCCTTGAGGTAGGGGGTGGTGCTGCCTTGGGGCTTTAACCCAGAGGCCCTGCCCCTTGGGTGTAGAAAACTGGAGCCTCCACCTGGCCCTGTGAGGGGGGAGGGTTCATCATGTCTAAGAGCGTATAAGAAGAGTGGGCCAGCAGTCCCTCCACACACCACATCAAAGTCTTTCATCTCAGTACTCCAAAGCAGTTCTGAGCCTGCTCAGGACACCTACCTGGACAGCCAAGATCACAAGAGTGAGGTGACAAGCCAGTCAAGCCTGAGCAGTTCCTCGGACAGCCTGGAAAACAGTTCCTGACCAAGCAGGGTGGAGTTGCCCAGCCCCTGAAGCCCCGGATTCACCCCTCAAACGTGCAGCTCTGAAAAGCGAACAAGGAACACTGACCAACTCTTGACTCTCATTCCAAGACCATCCCCAAGAGGAAACTGTCATCAATAGGAATACAAGTTGACTACATTCAGCCAGTGCCAAAAAAGGAGCCCAGTCCCGCTACCACATTCCAGTCCTTCAAGGTTCAAGTAGAGGACAACTTGTGAAGCAGCGCCCCCTCTCACAGTATGTCCTCCCGACTGGACACTGACCGGGATACCCAGGATGCTCACCACTCAAGCTGTAAGTCAACTGAGAGGAGTCTCCCAGACCGTACCCCACGCCCCAGCTCCATCAACGTTGATGCTGGCACACAGCAGGCCTCCAAGATTACCCAGATCCAGAAAACAGCGTTTTCGTTGCCCCTACCTGACCCACTCCACTGTTGGTCTTGGGGGAAATGAGGCAAAGCCACCTTACCACACTCCAGACTCCAGCTGTTTTCTTTCCAGCCCATTCTTCCTTTAGCAGATTTAGGACTTGGGGTGGCTTCTAGGGGCATTGTCTGTCCTTGGCCACACCTGTGTCCAGTCTCCGTGAGCAGGTGGTGGTCTTTATGTATGTGTGCATATACACATAGACCTTGGAGTGTATATTTAACAAATGCCCATCTGCTTACCCATGCCCGCCAGCACTGCCATCACCGGCTCTTGGGCACCTGACAGGAGGTGCGTGTGTGAAGGCGTATATTTTTACATATACTGTATCTAGATGTGTGTACAAGTGTGTATAACAATATACACCTTGTGTGTAAGCAGCCTTTGGGGGGGGGGGAGTCTTATCTCCTATCAGCCCAGCCTCTGAGTTTTCTGTTCTACTTTTTTTTTTACCCCGGTCATACTGCCCTGCATCCCCACTCTCAGGGTGTCATGACCCCTATGGTGGATTTACTAATGGGCAACTTGTAACGCCCAGCTGAATACCTACCTGAGGATTGTTGCCAATGGCATAAAAAGAGAACTGGAGAGGAAGATTGGGGGCTGTTGATTTTCTTGGAGAAGCTTGCTGAGGGTAGTTTTCCTGATGCAAATTTGGCTGTTCTCTTGTAGGAGGAGCTTGGGGCCTCGCTGTCACTGGGAATGGCTGCCGTTCTCATCAGGGGAGCTCTGATCTTCACCGTGAGCATCACTTTCTGGCTCCAATGAATATCCCTCAGCCTGGTGGTACAAATCCTTCACCCCACCACTGTAGATTTTCTGGCTTCTACTACTGACTGGCCTTTGAGCCTTCTGGGTGCAGATCCTTGATACCGATAAGCATGATACAAGCTTGAGACATTGCCATGGGCTCTAGGCCACTAGCTGGACTCATGGAGGACACTGCCTTGGACTCTAGGCCTTCAGCTGGACTTGTGTGGAACATTGCTGTGGGATCCAGGCCCTTGGCTGGATTCTTTGGGTCTCTAGTGTACAACTAATCTCTTACACCCCTCTGCATTTGACTTTCTTGGTGACTGTTATAAAATAATCCTATAAATTGTGTGTCCTGTATTAAATCTATTCCTTTGCAAACCCTGACCACAACAAGCCCTGAGCTGCAAAGGCCCAGATCTGCAGGGCAGGGTGGGATGGGCAAGGCAAGGGCAGGCAGCCTGGCAGGGGCCCGGTGCAGCAGAGCTTAGCACACAAAGGGCTGCTCTATACTGTGTGTGCCACTTGAAACATCTTGTCTGGTGTGTGATGCAGGGGTGAACCAAGGGCTTGCTCTGGGGACCCATTCCCGCTTGACTGCTGTCCGTGACCTTGGACAAGTCACTTGACCTCTGTGTGCCCCAGCATCCTCCTCTGTAAAAGAGGGACAGTCCCTGCCCCTCCCTACCTCACTGGCCTGTTATGAAAATAAATGAGGTAATGTGTAAATAAGTAAATAAGTCTGGGTCAGAAGTTATTTTTCAGGGCTTGAAACACTTCACACCAAGCTCTCCTGACCTTTATGGTTTGTATTGAGAAATCTACTGTAATTCTAATGGGTTCACCTTTGTAAGTGATTTGTTGATTCTCTCTAACAGCTTTTAAGATTCTGTTTCTGGCTGGGCATGGTGGCACACACCTGTAATCCTAGCACTCAGGAGGCTGAGGCAGGAGGATCACCATGAGTTCAAGGCCAGCCTGGAATACATAGTGAGTTCAAGGCCAGCCTGAACCGTATAACAAGACCCTGTCTCAAACAAACAAACAGACAAGAAAAGGTTCTGTTTCTGTATGGGGCTTCTGGTATCTTGACTGTAATGTGACATAGATCACATTGATCATGGCCATTTAGGGTTCTATATGCCTTATTTATCTGTGTTTGTATCCCCGTATTTGGAAAGTTTTCTGCTATTATTTCTGTAAACAAGGTTTTTATGCCCTTAGTGCTGTCTTCTGGTTTTTCATTTATTCCAGTTAATCTTAGATTTGTCTTATTTATATCATCTAGCAGCTGGTGAATCTATTTTTCATGCTCTCATGTTTTTAAGCTATCCCTGAGTAACTGGTCTTTGAAAGATTCCTGTCTCGTAAGTCTGATACTCTGTCCTCACACTGCTTATTTCTGCTCCCCATACTTTCAATATAATTTTCAATCTGGATTACTGTTTTGAACCTTTTTATGGACTCTAGTCCTTTGTTAAAATGGTCATTCATGAATCATATATTTTTTTTGTACTGCAGATCGAACTTGGGACCTTGCGCTTGCAAGGCAGGTGGCAGAACCACTGAGATAAATCCCTGGCCCTGTTTCATATCATTTCTGTTTAACTGAACTAGCTTTTTATTAGTGTCTTCTGTGGGCTTCTTGATTACTTTGTTACCTCTATTATCTGATTAGTTCTATTTTCTGTGCACCTGCTGAGTGAAGGGATCCATTGGCCACCATTCTGAGCTGAACAGAGATCACACACACACCTTCCGTGTGTACCTGCTAGAAATGTACAATCATGGGTTGTTCGGGCCTGGTAACCATAGCTACTATCCATAACTCCAATCATTACTCAACCCTGCACTTAACAAGTAACCGCAACTCCCTATGCATTCACAAGCCTTGTCCCTAATGGTAACCACAACCCCTTCTCACTGAACAATCCCGCCCCCTTATGCCCATGACCCTGTAAAAGACCTTATAGCCTTTGAGAGTAGCCAGTCTGGTCTCTAATGGCAGAGCCGTCCCTCTCAGGTTTGTTCTGAAGAAACCTGTCCTGTTGAGCTCATTCATACCTCTGTTTCTTTTCCTTTTTCTTCTAACACTGAGTAAGCACCTCATTGATCAGGTTTTTTTTTCCAAGATGATTTTGTTATTAGTACATATTTTCTGTACATAGTGATTGCATTTATTTTTTCCCATTAAGTTTATTGGTACAGGGGCTGGGGATTTAGCTCAGTTGTTCTGGCGCCTGCCGTGCAAATACAAGGTCCCGAGTTCGATCCCGCGTACCCCCCCAAAAAAAGTTTATTGGTACATTTTAGGTATACATTATGATCACATTCATCATTGGGAATTTTTACCTGTACAGGATATATCTTAGTTCTCATTTTTTCCCGATTCCCATTCCTTCCCTTCCACCCCTCTACCCCTCCCTATTTACAAAAACTTTGTTTCCATTTTTTTCTTCTTTTCTCATATTTTTTTTCTTTCCCTTCCCCTCCCCCTTCTTATTGCCCCTTCCCTTTTGGATCTTTTCTTCCTATTTTACATTATCTATTATACATTTTGGTCCTCATTTACACTCGCAGTTTCTCACACCAGAGAAACTATTCAGTATTTACATGTGTGTTCTAGTTATTTCACTTAAAAGTTTGGCCTCAGTGTGCATCCATTTAGCTATGAATGTCTCTAATTTATCATTATTTTTGGCTGAGTAGTACTCCATTTTATAAAAAACAAAACAAAACACATTTTCTTTACCCAGTCATCAGTTGATGGGTAATTGAGCTATGAAGCTATTGCAAACTGTGCCACTATAAACATGTGTGCACATATATCATTGATATGATGCTTTTTTTTTTCTGGTACTGGGGATTGAACTCAGGTCCTTGCACTTGTGCAGCAGGTGGTGAAACCAATAAGCTAAATCCCCAGCCACTGATATGATGCTTTTAAATCTTTTGGGAAGATACCCAGTGGGAAATAGCTGGGTCAAATAGAACCCCTAATTCTAGCTCTTTGAGGAATCTCCACACTGATTTTCACAGTGGTTGCACCAGTCTACTCTCCCACCAACAGTTTTTTAATTTCTTCTGTTATCCTTTTAATAATTTGACTCTGTGGCTTTTGCTTTCTTTTCCCCGATGCCAAGTGGATTGGCTTTGGAGGAGTTGGCAGTTTGGGGAGGCATTTTGTTGCCTGTCTTCTCATGTATCATTTGTTTTTTTATTTTTGTTTTGTGCTTAGGTATGTGGTTGCTTATAGTGAGTAGACTTTGTTGCTAGTATGGAGATCTCTTTAGTCTGCTTTTCAGTGATGCACTCAGGGTGTGGCTAATTATAGTGCTTTCCCTCTGTCCCAAGATCCAATCACCTGTGTTAATATGGGAGGAAGAGGTTGCAGTGTAACTGGCCCAGCACTCAGTTCTCCAGGAATGGACTGCAGTATTGTTAATGTCATAAAGGTAACCGGGTATTGACATACAGAGAAAACCTATTAATAGCAACAACTATGTGACCCTAGCAATATCAAGTAAATTAGCAACAGTAGTATCATCCAAGATAAACTGGATACTGACATATTATAAGAACCAGTAATGTTAAAAAAACACACCAATAATGTATCACCCTTAACTGTAGAAATCTACAATTAATTGTAGTATAAACCCTAAGACAAACCAAATACAGTGATACCCTTGTTCACAAATGCTTTTGTTTGCACACAATTTGGTTTGGAAACAGAAGCATTTGGAAAAATTTTGTTTTTATTTGGAAACTCTGCATCAGATAATGAACATGACCACGGCCATCTTTTCCTGCATAAACACAAATATAGCCATCTTTTTCAGAATCGTGGAATGAATTAAATTTGTGAACCAAGGTACCACTGTATTAATATACAGCAAATATCTACTAAAGGCAATAACTACACCTCCACTAATGATAGAAAAGAATTCAACAATAGTAACATAGAGTTAACTATCTAAAGATTAATAAAGCTTAATGGTTATACTATTAAAAATATATTGGGGGGGCCAGAGATTTAGCTCAGTGGTTCCGCTGCCTGCCTCGCAAGTGCAAGGACCGGGTACCAAAAAAAAAATTTATATATATGGGGTTGGGAATGGGAAAGACATTTTTGAAAAATTAAATAATAGGAGATGAAAAGGAGAAGAAAATGAGACAGAGGATCCTATTATGGAATAGTATATTTACAGAATTAGATAAAAGTAATAGAAAAACTCAAGAAGAAATAGATAAGAGAGAAAAAATAATATGGAGAATAAGAATAGAAAAAATTAAAAGGAAAAGGAGAAAAAGAAGAAAGAAAAAAAGACAATGAGTCCAAAAACAGAAAAAAACATTTTTCCTCTGTATTTTTGATGAGTGGTTTCCATCTAGGAGCCATAGTTTTGGTCCAGCAAGTGTTAGTTTTCTCTGCCTAGCCTTATGGCCTGTAGGTGTGTGAAGTGCACCCCCTATTCCAGAGGCCCCTCTCTTTACCCTAGGCTGTGGCAATGTCCAGGTCAAGATGTGTCCTCCCTCACATTGTGGATAGGGAAGGCAGTCAGACCTCAGATCTGCTGGATGTAGGCAGCAGATCATTGGTTCAAGACCTAGCTGTTTCTGAGTGCAACTCAAGCAAAGCCTGGCTTCCTACTGCAGAGAGTAGGGGCCATGTCCTTACTGCCCTGAGGTTCAACTTCTCAAGTGATGTCTTTCTAGCCAGGCTCCCTGTCTATGGCTGTCTCACCAGTCACTGTGGGAGGGTAACACAGGGAGTCCTGAAATAAAGTTGTTTTTCAGTTGTTCTGAGTCCTAGATTTACAATAACCCCTTCCCCAAATGGCTCCTAGTCAAACTCTCTAGTGATATGGCAGGTGCCCACACTTAAATCCCCCTCTGATGTTGCCTGTTGTGTGCAAGGAGTCCCCATAGCAAAATCCCATGCTGTTTTTGCAGTTCACATAGGCTGTGGGCTCAACTGCTGTTTCCCCCTGGATCTCCTAGCCCTGGGCATTTACCTCGCTTCTGGAGAGCCTGGTTTCCCCTCTCTGCAAGTCACAAGAGCCAGGGAGAAAGTCCAGGATTTTCCCTCTTTGCTCCTCATTGTAGACTATCTTTCTAGTTTTTCTGTAGCTTCTAATTATTCTTGTCATTTCCTTCCTGATTCCTGGCAATCTCCTCTTCTTTTCTTTGACAAGTTGTTACTTTCCAGTGAATGGATTCTGGATCTCAGAGGTCAATTTTGCTACCAATCACCACTCTGCCATTTTCAAGGTTGACCTTCTGCCTAATGCTGATAGATCCTGTGTATCTGGGCAATTGGTTTTCCAGCATCTTCTTGACAAAGAGTTCAGTATCCTACAAAATTGCTCATTCTATTTTTTTATCTAATTGGAAGCTTGCACTAAACTAAAATCTGCTTCCTTGGAACTATAATCCTCTGGGCTTACATACCAAGTTTCAGAAAAGGTAAAAGGGATACTTAGGGCTCTCATAAGGCTTTCTTTCACCATGATTAGAAAGAGAAATTCATTTGTTTACTAAAAAAAATATTACTTAAGGTTCTTTTACATGGCAAGACTGCTGGGTGCCAGATAAACAATTGTGAACAAAACAAAAATAACCTGTCTTGATGGTGTTTACCTACAGTATTGGAGAAGCTACATAGTAACTAAATAAACATTTCAAAATATGATGTACTGGAAAGCTATATAAAGAACAACTATACACGGTATGATAGAAAAATAGTTTGAATTTTTAAAAATTTTATTACAGTAAAAGACACATTGCCATTTGTTTCCTCAAAATACTACCTGTCACTTCAAACACATGTATCCATTGTTCTTGCCACTTTCTTTCTTTTCTTTTCTTTTTTGTTTTTTTGAGACAGGATTTTGTTTTGTAGTTTAGGCTGGCCTTGACC